CTACTTTTCCAGTAGAAAGGGACCATTTATCTGAATCATTCATTTGCATATATTTCCTTTTAAATTCCAACAAATCTCTGCGAAGCATATCTCAAGCATCTCTAGTTATAACGAATATCTATTTGAATTATGGTGGTACATATTTTTATGAAATTTGCTATGTATAGCATCCTTTGTTCGTATACTAATACATAGATTTTAAAATCTTTAAAATCAATAAAATATATACATTGTTGTCAGCGACACTAGACCAATAGGCGATAGTAAACTCAGCAAACATCTCATTATATTTTGACTTACATGTAAATTCTTATATATACACTCTTCATAATTTTCTCTACATATACATACATATAGATAATTATGTATTCATGTAGCATACCGATGCAGGTCGTGAAGAGCCATATAAAAAAAGACGTGCCATCAAGGCACGGAAATACGACGGGTTCATCGAATGGTCGTATCGAAGCGCGGACGAAAAGGCGAGAAGATTAACTGTGTTTGACCAGACGACGTCCGATTTTTGACCAGTGGGGAGGATAATTTGTTCGACCACTTTTGGTTGTGGTCGCTCCTTTTACCGGTTTCGAAAGATAGTTTTTGAGAAGGCCTTCGCTTTCTGAGCCTTCCTCTACCCGCATGGCGTAACGCTATCCCTTTCGTGTAATTAGTTTGTTAATTCGTAAGACAGTTTTAAGTTTGTTTACAAATTTTTCAAAATTTAATGGTACAGTATGTGTGTGTGCGTGCATGTGTGTGCGTGTGTGTGCGAATGTTGGTACAAAAAAAATTTGTATAGACTGGCGCAGGAAGTGAGATGCCTACTTTATAAGAAATCCAAACTACAGATTTGGGGGGCTTGTACAGAATTTTTAAAAATAAACCAACGTATACTCATGATAATAAGTGCGTCAGATCACATTATCAGTCACAATGTTTACAAATAATAATGATGTATAAGCCATTGATGTGTATTCATTCGTATATGCTATCAGTCGCATCATCAAAATCTTAAAAGTTTTGGGTAACACGATACAAGCTTCCTCTGATCGAATAGCGTTTTTTTCTCAGAGATGGGTGCATATCAACTAACTCAAATAGGATGAACAAAGTCTTTTGAATTTGCTCAATGGAGTTTCATTTATTTACTTTTTCACAAGCAACTACGTTATCAACTATCTACAATGGAACTATTAAAGTTCGTTGCGGATAAATTTTGAAGCAAGATGGTATTTATTTTTCGTCCATTTATTTCTTTTTCACGAGCAATTGCATTATAATAAGTTCTGCGGATAGATTTTGTAGATTATAAAGCAAGATGACGTTTTCACAAGCGATTACGTTATCAAGTTCTAAACAGAAATTGATAAAAGTCATATGAATGAGAATCACGCTCACTCTGCAGAAGTACAAGACAACGTTGCTCGTTTGGCGTTTTCTATTTGTTCGTTTGTCATTATTTTTGGGGCTGTACGTTATCGGTATCTAAAATAGAATCCTTAAATTTTTTGTGACGAGCCAAGCCCCTTTTCTGTTTATAGATCGAACGGCGTTTCATTATTCCGTTTGTTGCTTTTTCACGAGCGATTACATTATCTGTGGATAGATGATAACGATTTGTAATTGTAAGGGCAAACCTTGTTCAATGGCGTTTTTCTTTGATCTGCCGCTTTCACAGGTAGATACGCTATCAGTGATCTAAAATAGAACAATAAAGCCTTTTACGATAAGCCGAGATCTTACTTACTCGGCAGATTATAAGAAAAGCAAGTTGTCTCAATGGCGTTATAAGGTATTTTCTGCAACACAAAACCTGTTACATGGTTGCACATCAAGACAGAGTAGGCAGAATGGATTAATTAGGAAAGTGGTCTGCTTCTCAAAGAACAATGACAAACAATGCGATGAAGCCTTTGTGCATGTCTGTGGTACATCACAAATATACTATTACTATATATTAACTAAATGAACCATTCACGTAAGTGACGTCGAAATATGTGTAGTAGTTAACGATTGAATGACTAAATTATATTTTTCAGCAAGAAATTCGAGTCTTTTTCTGCTCACAATTTGATATTACTATCCTTTACGTTCGAACGAACTTATCTACTGCGGTCAGATGCTCGGATATGTAACACAAAAACGGGTCTATGGTAGCACCGAGAAATAAAATGCCCGGCAAAATATAATAGTATTATAGTACTTCCTACGATGCGCACAGGTTCTCCCGTTGCAACTAGACGCTGGCCATGGCTATACTATTAATAGCAACTTTCGTAGCCTAATGAGTGTTTCTTATCCCAATGTATTTTATTTGGTAAGAATCGAAAGTGATTAATAAAATCTCCGTCTACGATGTACGCCGTCAATGGAATTCCCATTATCCTGCTATTTATTGTCACCAATATTCGTGTTTGTGTAGATAATAATTACTCAAAGATGTTCTAGCGACTTTGCGACGCATTGTTGTATCGATGAATTTCACATAATAACTGTACTTAATATCATGTATTGATATTTTATACACACATCAACGATAACTGCAGTGAATAAACATGTAAGTTATATGAGCATTGAGTTCTTGGTTGTTAGGGTTATGACGAAAATCGATTTGAATAATCAAGCGAATTGGTATATCGAAACTTAAATCGTACTTAATATTCTGTGTCAATTTTTGGTATACACGTCGATAATAGTTATGGTTAATAAACGGGTAAGTTATATAAGAATTGGATTCTTGGTTGTTGCGCTATTCCGGATTATGACAAAACTGATTTCGCGTCTTTGGAAGAATCAAGCGAATCGGAATATCGAAATTTAAACCGTACTTAATATTCTGTGTCAATTTTTGGTATACACCTCGACAACAGTTATGGTTAACAAAAATATAAGCTTAATGAGTATTGGATTCTTGGTTGTTGCTTTAATGCTGATTGACAACGAAAATTGATTTCGCGTCTTCAAATCATACATAATATTCTGGGTCAATTCGTTGCGCACACATTGGCAACAGTTACGCTTACCAAACATATAAGCTTCATGAGCATTGGATTCTTGGTTGTTGTGTTAGTGCTGATTGACGACGAAAATTGATTTCGCGTCTTCGAATAATCAAGCCAAGCGGTATATCCAAATTCAAATCGTACTTAATATTCCGTGTCAATCTTTTGCACACACATCGGCAACAGCATGCATGTAAATTTTATAAGCATAGGATTCTTGGCTGCTGATTTAGGGTATCTAGCGATGAAGGTTGATTTCGCGTTTTCGAAAAATCAAGCAGATCATTATATGCAAACTCACACTTATTGACAACAGTTATGCTTAACATGCATGAAAATTTTATAAGCATAGGATTCTTGGTTGCTGACTTATGGTTACTGGCGATGAAGGCTTTTCGAAATCTATAGTATACATATTATATACAGTATACACCATTACATCCCAATTTCTCAATACACTGTCATAATATGAAGGTAATAATGAAAGAGATTAGTCAGAAGCACGTTTCATGACTCTTTATGACTAGTAATGCAAAACTTGTTCTCACGTGGGACTGCAATGGGAAGCTTACCTGGTAATGTAACTGTTATATATTACTGACAGTTGGCATTTGCGTAAACTCTTGGTGGTATCAAGTTGTATTCCAAGCAAATTCAATACATAGCCTTGCCTGATTCGTGCCTTCTAAGCTCATATGCTCGTTTTACAACGCATCAATCTGATCTTCCCACACCTTCACTTCTTATCGCCTTGTATCTGAATGTAACTCGATTACGAAAAGGACATCACACAGTATCATTCATTTCATTCTGCATCCCATAGCATATAGGTAACTTTAGTAGCCTGCTAACAGAATAGTCTTAGAATACTGACTGGGTAAGTCAATTTCCAATGTCCAGTGACTATTATAGTACAGCCAATCACGCAAATGTCCAGCATGCTACATCTTTACCAATCATAATTTCGATATCACGTGATTATCCGATCAATCGCGTTTAAATAATTTGCCCGCGTCGAGCTTTCTCTAATACTATCCAGAAAAATGTCAGATCCACACTTGAACTTTGCTGGTATGTTACATCAAATTTTCGTTTTTACTTGACATAGTCTTATAGTGGTATGTTATACTTTATGTCAACCCCCGTAAAAGAATGGTCATATTTTGGATATCTCAAAACTATGCAGCCTTACTTCAACGATTCTAAACTAAAGTCACTAAGATCAGTATGGAAAAAGCGATTTAATGAAATAATAAAACACACGGATGAGGAGAGAAGCAAAGCTGCATGGGTTCTAATAAATCAGTTCTGTAAGCATTATATAAGTAGTTAGTCACAAAATCATGCTACTGTATATTACACCACGCGGGAGCAGGTGACGCCCTGTGAACTCCCGGAGTTAGGTGACGTCCTCGGTGTTATATATGGAGTATACGGTTGTACCACGCGGGAGCAGGTGACGCCCTGTGAACTCCCGGAGTTAGGTGACGTCCTCGGTGCAATGTGTATCAAGCTGAGTGCACTTCAGTAATCAAAACATGTCTTGAAATTGGTTATTGTAATAGTAATTACTCCTTATTTTTCTTAGAAAAAAATTTTAAATGTCGGTGAATTTTGTGACCTTTTTGAGAAGAGGAGATTAATAAAGCGGCAACAGGTACATAATAAACTGTACATTTTCCAATTATGAGTCCTTCTAATACTATCGTATGGTTGTTAAATAGATCAGTACAAACGTCAATATACAATTGAGTACATTAAGGGTGATGAGCAACGCAGCTACCCACCAAGAGAATGAACTAGTAAGTCAGATGGGGACTTAGACTTTGAATAACATGAGTAAGTAATAATATACATTTTCCATTTTATAGAAACGTCAAAGCGATAACTATCTTGAGAGAGGAAAATCAAAATCACGTAAAACTAGCTTTGAAAATAGGTTGAGTGGACATCGGCTCGGAATGAGGAAATGCGAAAGAGATTTTGGCAAGAAGATGGTTTGGTTGAAGATGATTTGAAACATGTAAGTATAATGCACATTCCTCAAGTAAAAGAGAATATATAACCAAACTAATGATTTGCATTTTAATACTTTAGGACAATGGCTCTAAGAAACGAGCTTTTAAAATACATTGTAAAGTTATCAATAATACAAACATTATGTCAGAGGATATAGCGTGTATTCAACGGTCTTGCCCGCCTGCTATTGAAATCCAAGATTATTCAGAAACTGATTCCAGTTCTGATATTGAATCTGTTAATTATAATAGAGATGATCCTGACTATGTTTACAACTCAGAATATTCATCTTGTTCTAGTAATGTTGATATGTTTACAGATGATAATGAATCGAAGATGAAGATAGATTTGTTGGAATTTAAAAGGAAATATATGCAAATGAATGATTCAGATAAATGGTCCCTTTCTACTGGAAAAGTAGTAGAAGATATACTCTACAATTTTGGTATGAAGTGTAAGCATGAACAGTAAGTATTGTTATATTTAAGTTCAATTATCACACCTCAGATTTAACGCTCTGTGTTTCCAAAGTCTATGTCATTCATTTGTGATAGATCCAAACGATAAGATATATGTCAATGAGAGAGTTTCACTGAATCCGGACTTGATGAAATTAAGAAATACAAATTTAAAGTTATTACCACAAATGCCCCAAGATTTATTAACATATCTTTATAGTTTTCGGGTGGTAGGTATATTAATATATATTAATATTATTGATTGGCTGACATGATTGTTTATTTATTATTATATATTCTTAAATAGTATAATGTCCTGGACCTTAGGAAGGCACTATTAAAGGCCCAGATATGGGACTCTTCATGCAGCCAGAAAACACATTCTGACCATGATTGGATTCGAAATACTATGTCCAACCTGTAGGTTCTGTCCAATAGTAAATTTATTTCCTTTTCTTTTGCATAATAATAATAAGTCTGATCCTGATTCATAGGTTACATGAATATGAAACAGGAAGTTTAGAGAGAAATCATTTTGAATTATGGTATTTGATTCATGTTTGGAGTTTTGTAGACAGGGGCTTTGGAAATGTGAAGGGAGTAGAAGCTGTAAGGTAAAGAAAATATATTATAACCACTCTTTTATTATTAGCATAATCAGCTCATCTTTTTCTTGCATCAGATCGGAGTCTTCTAGCCTTGCATCTTCCGGTCGAAGAAAACGAAATAGAGTTGTATCTACAATTACCCCTGTAGAAAGAAAGATTATGGGAAGGTGTGGTGATCTTATTATTCAAAAGGTGTCTACTGAATATGGATGTTCAGAGGCTGGCAAACTTTTTGATGGTGATAATGGATCAAAACTGTTGAAAGATATGTTCCATTCTTTATTAATAACTCAACAACTATCATTTGGGAATAATTTTTGATATATTTTTTCTCATCTTCATTACTCCAACACGTTGGAAATTTCGTATTAGACTCGAATTTTTCCAATCGATCCTGTGTCGGATCAAAATAAAAGCCCGCAGATGCGTCCGTATAAAAGACCATGGCCAATTTACTGTCTGATGCCGATTGCGCGTATACTATGTCATATTTAATGACGTTCGGATTTTGAAGTGCCCATAAAGCATAATACTTACGAGAATAAGATCCTACTTGAATTCGTTTGCGATCATATAAATGATATAACTGCGCCAATGTCTTCTCCAGCTCCGGCACACTCCATTGCCAAGCACACAACAAATACTCTACGATATTGTGACTAGGTTAGAAAAATCGCTATAGGTTTGTAATGCTTGACCGATAATTTATTTAGACTTGTACAATCCACGTGTAAGATAACATTGTGAAGTGATGATCTAAAAAAAATTGTGGCTACATAGTATATGAATGCACAACCATCGAAAAAGGCCTGTCATTAACTAAATGTCGTGATAATGTTGTTACTATCGAGGACTATACAATGCATGGTCAAGCCTTGTGAGGATTTACGGGTTTTCTGTAAAGTAACGACCTAATTCGCATAATTTGGTCCATTCTTTCGGAGGCTGCATTTTTATGATTTCATCTGGAAGCATGATCAACTGCATCAAAAGACCAGATTCCAAATGCCACTATAAAAGATACAAAGTTTTAAAATCAGAATCGGATTCATTTTTCATGTATCAATAAAAAATCTTTACATACCTCGTAAAAAAAATGAAATGAAATGAAAGGAAAAAAAAGTTAGTGAATTTATCAAGAAAAAAGAAGCAATATACTGAACAAAAACGGAATAAAACGATAGCATATCATGTGACAGTGTATTCCCCAGACTCCAGGATTGTCGGAAACAAATCTGATGGCAATCCATCTAGAAAAAAAATTATATTCGCCTGTTTAGTCTGTTTTTCATTTTACTAAGGGGACTATTTGTAAGAAAACGCGAAATTTTTTTTACCCTGCGGCAGGTATTGTTGCAGTATCACGCTTGATTGGATTATGTGTATTCAAATCGTCTACATCAACTTTATCTCCATCTCCGGTTCCAAGTATCCAAAAATGGTTTCCATGCTAAGTTTTTAGGAAAAAAAGTTAATATTTAAATCATTTATGTCGATTAATTAATTTTACTTACCATGTGAAACGGATGTTCGCCATTGTCAGTATCTAAAAAAAATTGTTTATAAAATTATAAAATTAAAAATTCTTATACGATTGTTAATTAATTATACTTACTGATGAAATAAATATCAACTATTTCTCCATTTTTATCAAAAACATAGGCATTTGCACTAGTTTTTTTAATTGGTTTCCCTTTAAAGGTTTTATCTAAACTCGAAATTTTCATATCAGGTACGTAAGAAGATTCATTAAGGAAAGCCTTAACAACTCTTGTTGCATTCTCATGAAAAGCAATTACGAGTTCCAATTTTTTCGTTGCTTCGGGAATCTTTTCTTCTCTAAGTGGTTGTAAAGTCTTGTGATGTAGATCAATGCATTCTGTCAAGGAATTAGACCATGGATTGTCTTTTGGTTCAGGATCATCGGGGGCTCCTTCATAATGTACTATAGCTTTTATAATAGGAAGACTAGCTGCAGCATCTGGCATGCATGTCTTTTGAAATTCAGAACGCATTATATAATTATCGACCGGTTGGTTTGCAGTAACAATAACAGAATATCTTTGGGCGACGTTGATGGGAAGATGATGGATTTTTTTTCGCTTGGTATATCCACCGTCTGCTTCTATAATTTCCATTTCATGTTTATCAATAGAAAAGAAGAATGACGAAAATGCGCTAGAAGAATAAAAACATTAGTCACTTTTAAATTTTTTTTTTGAATTGCATAGTACGATGATGCAGATTACTGTACCTAGCATTAATGATACGAAGGCGATATTTTTTATTCTGAACAAATTCAAATTTAGCAAGACCGGCATTGTCCACACAATTAGAACCCGGTGGGGCCTTGGAGCAATCGAAATTATTTTTTCCATTGATCAAACCGTTATCGGGAACTGTAGGTGTAGGAATCGTTCTAATTAGCATCACGCGATCACACCTTTGTACTTATATAACTATAGTTTACTTATATCAATCTTTCTTACCTGGCTATTATTATATAATGAGAATGAATTAATATGAATTAATATGAATCTAAGAATTTCGTATTAAGCTTCAAAACGTTAAATTTACCTCTTCTCCTTTAGTTTCAGGAGTTAAGAAATGTTTTAATAAAACTTTTGCATTGGTATGATGATAATCATTCAATATGACAATAATTTCCTCATCATATTCCGCTTTATACGGATCATCAGGATCGTGAATAACTAATAAATTAAATAGAGACGTCATAAAGAATTAAAAAAAAAAAGACAATTTAAATTAAATAATTAAATAACTTACTTAACGCGCCAAAAACTCCATCAACATATTGCACCGTATTATGCGCATGACTAAAAAATATTATATATAGCCAGTGAGTACATAGGAGTTCAAATGATTTTTAATTTTTTTTTGGTCTCATAAATACTCACTACCAGTAAGTGCCAACTTGGTCGGGAACAGTGAAATTGTAGGTGAATTCGTAATTGTCTGGTATAACGCATTGAGTCTGATAGTACGCGTCAATCGATGATTGGTCAATATTGAAAGAATATAATTATACGAATCAGTTTTTTCCAACTCACAATCCATGGTGCTCCATCGTACCTATATAATAGATTGTGAAATTAGTATGGTCTTTGTAAAAATTAATTCCGGTGAAAAAATTTTACATACCAAGGAGTCCCTCTTTGATGCATCCCATGCCCATGAATAGCTAATATTTTATTTTGCAATATGCGCTTAAAACCACGTATAACACATAAAACATAGGAAAATATTTGTTGCAAATTACCTGTTGGTTCTCCCAATTTATTATTAATTTTCATCAAAATACGATCTCCTTTGTTAACTTCTATGGTTGGTCCAGGATATTGTCCATTAGTGGTTGATAATTGACGAGTAAACCCATCTGGAGCCAAAGTAACTTTTTCTATAGTGAACTCAAAAATATTTGTTTTTGGTTCGTACCCCCGGTTCAAAATTGGCGTGGGCAAGACTATTGTTGCCCAAAGAATAATGTAAAAGAAAAAGATCCCACAAGAAGTCATTATTATATTATTAATTAGAATTGAGGATAACTTGGCAGTATTTTATATCTTTCATTACCTTGTGTACTTTTTCTTATCGAAAATTGATCAGCTTGCGTTAAACTTTTAGAACAATCAATCAAACAAATCAATTGTTCGACTGCAGACTAATGTTGTCTTACAATACGATTCAATCGGGTATCGGGACAATATGCCGAATCTAGATCACAAGGTTTCATCAGTGTTTCTTAGGCACCAATTACTAATCGTTGTTTCATCAGATTCTAGGGGTACTTTAGTCTGATAAGACAACCGACTATTTCCACAAACATTGTTCCAAATCTTCAATAAGGACTGCCAATATCCTTATATCTACATTGTTACAAGACCTCGAATATTTTATATAACTTATAGGAATGTCATGATTGTGTCCTTGTTAATATTAATATAACCTGGGCTCTTCTATCAAACCATCAGCGAGATCGAATCTCTCTACTCTGATTGGTTTAAATATAAATTCTTTTCTTTTCGATCGTAATTCGAGCTTTTACATAATAACTCGTTAATTAATTAACATTTAATATAAGATCGAACCCCTACATGTGTTACGCTAAATTTCTTTTCCAGTACTACTTGACCCTTTATGGATGATTTGATCTCTATTTGGGACGCTAATCCTATTTATAGTTATAGATCGACTAAAAAATTACTATGTATGGTCAAAGATCATCCTAAAGGTGGGGGTCGTTCTTATAAATAATAATAATAATAATAATAATAATAATAATAATAATAATAATAATTATTATTATTATTATTATTATTATTATTATTATTATTAGTGCAAGTAAGTAAAATTGAGAACCTCTTTTTTTAAAACTGTTGCATTGGGAACGAAAATTGCATTTCCGAGAATCTTTATCGCATGCGGCATTATATCTGATCGCTTTGAAGATCACTTTGATCTACAGCGAAGCGTTGTGAAACGGACGAATTCTTTCAACAGAATCTTCGATCTACAACAAAAATTTTGGCAAAAAAGCCTTGTGAGCTGAATTCCATTTAAATGTCGCTTTTGACAGTACAGAGATCAAACTTTCTTTCCCCGAAGAGTAATATTAAAAGCGGTCACTCAATATTAAGTAGCATAATCAACTGTCAGAAATAGTAGCAATGATTTCTAATATTCTTTTTGGGTTGGGTTTATTCATTTTCTATAATGGCAAAAAAATGCTATATTTGTTCGTATGTAATATATCTTTAAAAGTATTGCAATTTTCCCGAACAATAAAAATAGGAATAGCGATGAATTATTTCCAGTAAGAGGAATCGATAGTAACAACATAGCGTTTGGAATGAATTGGTATGGTGTAGCTGACGTCTGAATATCAGTTAGTAGTATAGTCGATCACTTGTAGGTTCGTAGGTTGGAATGTTGTGATATTAGGGGGGCGTCGGCTCTGGCCAATTAAATTTTTTGCGATTATGCGTCGCACCCAAAGCAAACATTTATGCATCTGTAAATCAGCGATACTAATATGTCTTATCATTATGCATTATGCACATACGCCACTGTTATAACAATAATTTATTTGGTTATGATTAACATTTTAAAAATAGATCTAAACCATTGTGGTTAAACTGCTGTTTAAATCAGCGATACGTCTTTATGCATTATGCACATGCACTCACTGTTACAACAAATTTGTTTGGTTATGATTGACATTTCAAAAATAAGTCATATGATAGCCATTGTCGTTAAACTGCTGTTTAAATCAGCGATAACAATGCGTCTTATGCAATGCC